CGGACTGATATGACAGCTAGAAGGAAGGCAGTCTCACCTGCTTTCGATGCGTTTTCATCAACACAGAGGCTGAGCAACCGCACGTCTTGCGCGTGGTCCGTAACGAGGTCCAAAGCGGCAGAAGTTGCGGTGGATGCGAGGGCAGACACGATAAACGAGTCGCGGTGTACCCGTGCCCAAGTCACGGACGACGGCGTCGCGCTCATCACCAGCTCGCACTTGCCGCCGACAAAAGACAGCGCGGTCGGTAGGTACGACTCGTCGGCCTCAAGGCGGCAATCAATCATCTCGAGACGGCGGAGTTGCGGGAATGCCCGCAGAAGCGTGTCGAGATCGCCAGCCGCGGCCGAGCAGCTCTCGAGCTTGAGCGAGGTCACCGCGGTTATTTCGGACGACTCCGACTGCAGGGCTGCGAGCCTGCTGGCTGCCTCGGGGCTGAGGTTGGCAAAGGTGAGGCTGGCCAGGCGGGGGAGTCGCGGCAGCGTGTTGACCACGCGCCACGCCAGTGCACCCCACACGCCAGTGGTGCATTCGGCCCAATCGAACGCGATGCTTTGCGGCATCGGGGCGAGCGCCGGGGTCGTTTCGAGCAGATCCATCAGGGCCAGCGACTTGACCAAGTGCTCGCGCCCGAAATCCGGCGAAAAGTCGAGATGGGCGAGCATGTTGCTTTGTGCGCGTAGTCGGAATGCAGCGTTCACGAGAAGGCAGCTGCGCAGCGTGTCGAGGTCCTCATCCACCGCGATAGTGTCAACGATTTTGTCCATCAGCTCGCCGGGGAAGACGGGAGCAGGAGCGATCGTGCACATTGCGGCGGGTGGTTTGGAGACAGCGGACGAGGAATGGATGTGTGTGGAAAGGAGGGAGCGTCGAGGAGGACAGGGGGGGAGAGGGAGGTCAAGGAATAGTTAGAGGTCCGACAGACGTCTGCGGTAGAAGTAATAAGTCGTCAGAGCCTGCAAGGGACCCGCCTGCGTGATGCCAGCCTAACTCGTGCTGAGCCAGTGCGCCTTTAATCTGCAGATTTCATCAACCGCGTGGGACCGCCAAATACAAGCCTGTCCGAATCCGGACAACGAGGCAACAACCGCCCACAAAAAAAGACAACGGCCGCCCCTGGAAGCCCCACAGAATAACGGTGCGTTGCCCGTGAAAGCGCGAGAACAAGCCTATCACACATGAAAAGGCAGAGGGAGAGCAACCGGCGTCGCAGAGGTGCACGCGGCGGAGGTTGTCAGGGACAGGCTCGGATGCAGGAAGCGGCATGGCTGCGTAACCGTTCCCACGTTGCGGGTGACTCCTGCGTGCAGCACCGCGCCAACGAGGTGGATGAACTTTCAGTGTGAAGGGCAGTCGTTTCGTCGACTGTGGGCGACATGGAGGAGAGGAGGAGAGGCCAGCTAGCGAGGTCGCTATTGTCTTGATCCACTTCTGGACAATGAACTGAAAGACCCTTGCCGGCTCGCGTTCAAACATTGCGCGCTGCATCTCACGTGACGGGTCTATCCGCCGGAGACGAAGCCCTAAACAACGCCATCGGGAATGAATGACGCGCCTGGGGAGTTGGGGACAAAACTTATGAAGGAGAGGTGAGCAGCAGCAGCCACAGGACACGTCTAGTTTATAGCGCACGTGCACAACAGATGTGCTCCTGATCCTGTGCTGCTTGTTTGATCCTTGGTGAAAGAGCAGTCTAGCCAGCCGTGTTCTTGAGCAGAAACAGCAGAGCCTGATGTACAACAGCGTGTTGGGATGTTTAGTCGGAGGATCCACAGGTTGCGTCGAGTCGAGTCGTGAGCCACATGAAGAAGCGCGCCCAACAAGCTCGAGCACCAAAAGCGGGGCTAGGTAGAAAGAAACTCTAAACACACAGCCACCTAATTCGGATAACCACGTGAAAAGCTGGCTGCGTAGTCTTTCGCTCGCGCTCTCGCTTTGACACAGTGCGAAACGTTGTACAGGACCGAACGACATCTCCTAGGCTGCACTACTCGGTGAGTAAACTGAAACGATTCATTCGTTGGGCAACTCACAATATTGTGTTAGTTGAAGGTAGCTGCGCACAATGCGCAGCTACGACGCACAAATTTTGAGCATCCCAGACTCGGCGCTCAAGCGCTTGGGATATCTTGTAAGTGTAATAGACCACTGAGACTACTGAGGAGAAGAGGCGAGAAGACTGCTTGGCGGCTCTTTAGAAGTGAGACAAAAGGGCAAGGGGGAAGCAGGGAGCTCAAAAACGCGACACACTTTAGTCCTTTAGCGACAAGTCAGAACTTCGGTCAATTCGCGGTATTAGATAGCTATTAGTTACACGCCGGGGATACGTTCGGCTTGTTGTTCTTTCTTCCAGGCAACTTAACATGTCTGCTCCCCACCGCCAAGGCTGTTTCGGCTCGGTTACGACGTCGCTGGGTCTCCTGTACCTGCACCAGTCGTCCTGCCCGGCCCACCAAGCCTTGCACCCCTGCCCGCAAAGCCAACTCTAAACGGGAAGACCCCGCGAGTGGACGCAAGCTGCGGCGGCTGAACGGGTAAGGTAATAGGATGCTGGCCAGGTCCGCCGCGTCCACCGAAGCGACCAATTGGGAACATGCCGCCTCCTCCGCGGCTAGGTGGGATGAGCGGCGGAGATGTAAAGATGCTGTTCGGGTCGCCCGGGTGGGCGGTACTGGCGATGCGGACACCACTAAAGCCGGGCTCGGTTGTCTCAGCAAGAGCTTTGTCGTGTAGCTCGGCCACCTCTTGATCGATCGCATCGACGTGCTAGATGAACGAGTCAATACGGGCTTGTCGTTCTGAGGAAAACACGACGCACCTCGAGGTCAATGACTAATGCACCTGAATGCCATCCTGCGGCAGTCGCACCAATTACAAACCTTCCAGGCCCGAAATCGACCTTCGTTGGAACCTCAACGGGCAGGACCGCATCCGAGAAGCGGGTCCTACGCAGAGCATCGCGAGTTTCTATATCTACAAAGCCACCCGGGCCTGGTGGGCGACTGAACGGATCACCCAGGCCGAGCGCGCCATCCGAGTAGCTGCCCCAGGTATAGAGAGAGCCATCCTCCGTAAGCGCTCCCCAATGATAGTCTCCGAGAACGACGCTGATGACTCCATTATTCTGAAGAGTCGGAAGGATAGTGGCGTCTGTTGAAGGAGATGTGTGGTTCCCTCCTTGTAGAACGCTTGAGGAGGCTCCAGTCGAGTATGCAAAGAAGGTATGGAAGTTTGCCGAGATCTGCGGCGAACATCTCAGCTCGAGTTTATAAAGAAAGATGGGAGTTGTGGGCATACGTGCGTAATAACCACAGACTCAGGCGGTGATAGCACACCGCCTTGACTTGCATCGTACGCAGAATTCGCCGCAATGGCACTGCGGTCGCTGAATTTCGGCAACTACACTCAAGTCAGCATGCAGCATCAGCGTATCATGTAAAGCTCGCGCACGTATTCCCATTGTGCAAGCGGTGGAGGTACAGTAGATTCATCTGGGCTGAATCTCTCCCGTGCGGGTCGGGTGTCCATCTTCAAAACGTGCCCGGCGTTGGTGAGACCGATAATGAAATTATCCGCTGCAGCGATCTTCACCAGTTTCGGGTTACCTGGTACCTGCGCCAGCGGTGGAAGCTGGGGGAGGTCGGGAAGAGTGATGGGCGTAATTTGAAGGTCGGTGACAGAGGGTGTGACAACACGTTCATCATCTACGGTGTGGGCTACAGCAGGGTTCTCCTGCGAGAGACTTTGTGCGAGCGCCTGGATGTTCTCATCCATGCGGCCAGCATCAGGCCACCAAGCCAACACTGCGCCAGACTCGGTGAGAGCGAAGCCGGAGGTCCAGCCCGACTCTACCTGGACGAGACTTGTGTCTGGAGACGTTCCATCGAGAGCGTCAGACTTGAGCTTCATGCCTGCACCCCATGCAGTGAAGAGCCAGATTTGGGAAGTCGAGTCAAGAACGTGAGCATGTGCACGACCACAACTACGCATGGTAGAGTATTAGTAAAGTGAGAGTTCTTATGAGAGAATTGCACTCACGAGACGTAAGTGAAGCGAGTCTCGGGTATATCCAATCGAATAGGATATGGCGCGGTCTCGCTCGAGTCCGCAAAGCCATCACTACCGCCGCCCCACCTCTCATTCAATTCTCCCCATGCATATAGACGGCCCTTAGTGTCGATCGCGTGGAATGACCAGCCACCGGCGGCCAAGGAAGCGATACCGGCGCCGTCGGCTGGTTTCAACGCCGGTCGCACAGGGCTCGGAGACGCATCGTAGTAACCGGATTTGCCATTTCCGAGCCGGCCATTTGTGGCAGCGCTATCAAATTGGCGAGGTTCAAGGGGTGAACCGAAGCTTGAGTTTTCGAGAAGACGTACCCCCAAACGTATACCTGTGGCTTCTTCATCCCACGATAAATGGCCTTCCAACCCGCCGACCGCGCCGTCTCGCGGGACGTGAAATTGAATTCGCGCTCCAACTTCAGCTTCCAGAACGTGTCATCGTTGACGAGAACCGTGAAGAACTTGTTCGTGCTTGCGAGGGCGAGCAGGTCGCGAAGCGCCAATGCAGCTATAGTTGCAAGCCCAGATGTGGCGCGTCAGGTTTGGGAGAGATCGAGTGCACGATCGAGTACACACGCAGAAGATTATCGATTAATAGCTCGACGGGAAGGTCTTGTATGTGGGCTGGCATGACTGGAGGTAGGAACCGCGAGATAGGAGGGAGAGCTACTGCCCGGCTACACGCGTCATACAGTCGGGGACTCTTTAACTGCGCGGCTACGGCACAGTTCGGTTGTAGATCGCCTCACTAGAAACGGTATGGGAATTGTTCTCAAGGGAAGGACTGCACGCTGACAAGGCTGCTGTGAGTGGACTTGGCCTGCATGGAACTAAGCCACATGCGCCTTACAACATTCTCGCCAGTAGGTACTTCACACAGCATACATTCAAATTGAGTTCTGGCCTCTGAATGGTCTAGGTTAGACGCTCTGAATCGGCTCAATGGTCTAGTGGTATGATTCTCCCTTCGGGCAACCGCCTGCACTGCAGGTTTATATGGGAGAGGCCCCCGTTTCGATCACGGGTTGAGCCCATGTTTTGTGTGGCATCCTCCTCCACCGTGCTTGTCATACCTTTTCAATACATATCGCAGAAACTGAACGACTCAGACCATGGTCAGGAGACATTACCGCTTCTTCTAGTGCCAGTCCCAATATGATTGCACAGCTATTGTATAGATATCTAGGAGGACTCTCAACCTCGACTTATCCTTTTACATAGTCCGAAATGGCATCTGATAGCTTGCTGGAAAAGTGGCCACCGAATGTTTCGAACGCAGCGCGTTCGCGACCGTATTCCCATTGCGCTCCAAGAACCAATTTGCCGTCTGTCTCGACATCTGCAAAGTTGAGCCTCAACGAGACCACGCAGATTAGAATAGGCTCGGCCGGAGAGGTCGCAGATTCGCCGGAAGCGGTATTGTGAAGATGGGCTCGTCGCGCCTTGCGCGTCCACGTTACGGATGTTGCAGTGATGCGGGCAGCAACGAGCACGGGAAGGGGAAGTGGTGCGAGGGCGGATATTTGCAAATTTGAGATGGCGAGAAGAACTGACCAGAAGGTGCAGACGAGTGTGGAGGTTGGAAATGATGCCGGTTGTACGACGTTGAGAGGTCGGTCGATGCTAGTGCTGGCGGGTTCAACGATGGCATTTCCACCTGAGCGAACAACATCCTGTACACATTGCAAAATCATCTTGAGTGAGGAGAAGCAGAGCCTTTCAGGATACGAACATCGGGTAATCGGACTGGCTTGAATGACCAGCCGAGCAACCAACGTCGGGTCGTGCCTGTCCCAGAGGTAAAGCCGTTAACTGCATAGTTTGAGATCTGCAATTAGACCGTAAGTCGGCAATTTCGTAGTCGCCTTGAAATAATCTGAGTAGCTCACATGGAGACTCTGAAGAACCTCCACCAGCCGTTCGAGTGAGCTCGCTAAACCAAGCATCGACGTGAACCAACTTGGGACCAATCAGAATGAGAATACCACGACTCAAGTGAGCTCACATGCATCTGCTTTGCACGAGAACACTCTCCCTGATCATCTTCTCGACGAAGGCGACCTCGCCACCTGGAGTTACCGACTCCGTTGCAGCGCCCGTGTACACCTGCCCCCATATCTCATTTGTCAGCGTCGGCAAGAAAATAGCTGGGAATTACACACACCGTAAGCGCTGGGCTCTCCTTGCTTGCTGCTCGACGCTGCATATCCTCCTCACTTTGATAGAAAGGAGGGTTGCACATGGTGGCGAAGTATCTTGACGAGTTGGTTCATAAGGAAGCAAGACTAGGCCACAAAACAAGTGTCAGACTCACCGGAGGTTGTGGTGGGCGAATAGCGGTTGGAGCAGGTGGTCGGATGGGGATGTCTTCACGAGCGTAATGCGCGACTGCATATCGTTTGCGATGACGTTCCCTTCTGCGTAGCCATACGAAATCTGATCAAGCTCTGTTTGGGTAAGTATTACCCTAGAAGGTTTCCTTTGAGCGGCCTGCGTACCTGTTGCGAAGAATTGAGCCTCTGGCCATGTCGAGCATCCAACAAGAGGGTAGACGGCAGAAGCACCCGTACCGCTGGCGGCGAAGGCCACTCAGAATAACGACGAGGAATGGTAGCTGGTTCGCCTACATGTCGATGATCACGGGAGATTCGTCACACGCTGAATGCAGATGAAGTTGGCGTATCCAATTCATGTAGTAGCGTCTGAGAAGAGTTGAAGTTAACAGCAGGCTTACGACAATGAAAAGTGGCACCTGTTCTCCATCTATTTCGATGCGAACGGTGTCAGAGTGTGTCTTCTTATTCGATAGTGGTCGCACCGGTGGACAAAGCCTGTCCTCAGGCAAACTGATGCTAATGCCAAGACTAACTTGATACAAAGCTTGGTTGAGCATTCTTGTAAGAGCTGAGTCACGTTCCGTAGTGCAGCACGGGTGCGGTACCTCACCGCGGCTGGGTTGTTAAAGTCGATAGTCGCGCCTCTCGACGTTGGTACGAGACTTCAAGACTCGGGATTACTTTTAGGAACTTCGCGGAGTGATAAGGGCTCATACAACTGCCCAAGTCTTGGGTACTGCCTAGCAAGGTCTCTGTAATCGACTGACGAGCTCATGGCGAGGGAGACAGAAGAGTAGCGCGAAATTTCGAGCCCCGACGATCTGTCACTCTTTCGCGATGCTGAGCGAGTTTTTGAGCGCAATCCTGCCGTCGGCGCGCAACGACGAAAAAGAGGAGGAGCCTCCCAAGGGTGAGCAGGCTGACGCGCCTGCAGAGGAGGAGGAAGCCCCCGAGCCTGAAGATGTCTGTTAACTTGGCCAATCGCTCGCGTTGTTATTGAAGCCGATCGCGACAGGTTCACCCCGTTGTGCGCCAGGAATGCCAGGAGAGCGCCGAGTGTTCCAAGGTTGCGCACCACTATCAGCACTGTCAGGACAAGGTCAATGCTGGCGAGGGTGCTAAGGGCGAGAATTGCATCGAAGAGCTCTTCCAGTACGTCACTTTTTCATCAGAACTTGTCTCTACGTGTTCTAACCGGTCTGGAACTTCAGCATGATGCACTGCGTAGACGTGAGTGGTCGGCTGAAATCGGGAGAATATGTCTAACAGCTCACTGCTACAGAAATGCGCCGCGCCGAAGGTCTTCAGTCAATTACGGTGACATATCTTTTCAAGAATAGCCCGTTGCTTGGTTCGTACCCTGCCAACGACCTCGTTTAATTGGATTCTGATGTTACTGGGCAGTATGACTGGCAGCCAAATAGACTTAAATCCGCCGATATTATATTTGCTGACGCTTGTGCGCAAAAGTCGTAACTCCAACTTCCATGCACGATATACCACACAACTGCGGAACATCTGTGGGGATACTCCACGTCTGGTGCTTTATCTACGGGTATGGTGAATGCCAGTTTCATGTTTGACCGAAGCCCGCGGACCGTACTCTTTACGACTATCCTCCGCTGCCAGTGAGGCCAAGTTGCCAGATCTCGCATCATTTGGTTTCAATTTCGGCTCGAGCGCCTTTCATTTTGTCCCTCCTGTCGTTATCAGGACACGAGAGGGTTCTAACTTCCACAATGCGATCAAGGGTGTGCACCCCCTCTGACGTGCTGCACGCCATCGGATCGGCGTATTGCCAGAAGCTCAAACCGCCACTGTGCTTCAGGCGACAATCATACTGACTCATTTCCGTGCCCCAGGTATCGACCCCGTTTGGCCAGACCCCGTAGGTCGATCATGACTTGTGTCAACCGTGGCCTCGAAGAGTCGAACCGCAACTTGCATCGCGAGTCATCCTCGATAAGAGCATAATATTGTTAACCTCAAGCGTGGCTTCGCCGGTATGGCCAGTAAGAAAATGTCTGAAGCTTTTCTGATGGACTCGAGCAGTACCCACGACGACATTCGCAACACTAATTTGTTCAGGACGATCCTCGACGCGCGTGAATGCCTGGGAAACTTCGGAATCTATCGGTCGCCCGCGGTGAGATCTGGCAGCCCTGTCGAGACGGGACCAGGTCTCTGGCGACCCACGTCTCGACACGGAAGCCAGTGGCCCATCCAATGTACAAAGTGCGCGGAATTGATCAGTCAAACTGCCAGAGCTTCAATCCTAGATTGTTTGTGCACATTGTGGTTCTAGAGCACAGTCGTGCCACTGTGCCCCGTTCTGCCGGACTTCTTGCGGCTTCACAAGGAGGAAGTGGTTGACGCGATATCGCGCTAAGTGCAAACACCCTTCTGCGCTCGTAGTAAACTTTCAAGCTTGTCCTAGTCTTGTGCAGCACCCAACTCACACAATGAATGCTTCATTGACGTCGCCCCCCTGCCGTGTTCGTGCACGCTGACGTCTCTCAAGTTGGGAACCACGCGATGGCATCTGACGGCGCAAGTGCTTGCCGCAGTATCGCAAGTCATTCAGTTCCAATCAAGGACGACCCTGGCATTTTGTCACTACCAATTGGACCGCGGATTCGGATTGTGCATTACGTTGTGCATGCCCCTAGGGGGTTCCTACGATCAAGGGAGGACAAGATTCACGGGCGGCGCGGCGCGGCGCAAACTTTCCTGGGAACGATACTTGCAGCTGCTGTCACCACGTACGCAGGTCTGGATCCACCCGCCCCGTTACACCTCGCCGCGCATTCACATCAACACACGCGGGAGGGTTCACGAGACTTGGGAAAACAAATCGTGTCTGCTGCAAAAGGGCCCGACGGTCGCTGGTCAATCGCTAGACGGGTCCTCCGAGGTTTTTTGTGATCGCGGCGCGGACCGTGGCTGCGCCGGGTTCGACGAGCCGCAACGAGGGATACCAGATGCACCAACTCAATTACACCGATTATCCTGCGGCGAAGACGCGCCGCGTCGATGTGTCGATCACACATGGCCCTCCGTAACTCGCCGGGGAGTCGGGAGCTCTCCCTGGCCCGGTCCGGAGATTGGCAACGCGTCGTATCCGCGGGAATTCTTGCGCGATCGTTGATGCCCGCGACTGTGGCTGTCCATACGGCATATCGATGATGATCTCGAACGGATATCCCGGGTTGCGAGTTGCTTACGCGGGCAGTTGTATACACCAGGAGAAAAGCATGCGTTTTTTGCAGCGTCTAAGTAGGTAGTATAACACAGGTGGGTCGGGGGATACAACCACGTGAAAATGTACAAGCACTGAGCCTCCCATCTACAAAGGGGTGGGCGAGGCAGCGGGGGACGATCGACGAGCAGGTGATTGTGACTGGAACTGTACATGATGCGAATAAAACCACCACCCAGAGTCCGTGATGGCGTCTTGAAGTGACGCGGGAAAGCCCTAGAGCGACGTATATGGCACACGCAGACGTGCGAAAGAATGCAGCGAGATGACGACGGGGTCACGCGGGAGCATGACAGACAACGTTGACATAAACGGGCGAAGGCGAGGGTGAGGGTGAGAGGCGCAGGCTGGGTAGCGATGACGGAAGTCTATGGCGAGAGGGGTGCATAAGCGAACAATCTAAAGGCACGAAAGAAGGCAGATGGAAGCTGTAGAGCG